AAAAGAATGATTTTGCAGTTGTGGCACAACCTATTCTGCTAAATTTTACATTGCCAGTTGAATCAGATGGATATATCGATATGTCAGCGTTAAGTATGGATTGTTTTCACGGCAGTCAAAAAACTTATGCTTTGTGTAAGTGTATTTTTTATATAATATTTATTGTAAAATATATCAGATGTAAAGATATATGTCTTTGTTGTTAATACTGTAGATGCAAATGGTCTGTGGAACAATTTGTTAGAACCAGTGGGAGCTAAATCGACGAACTACTCTAAATCATTGTTCGAAAAGTTCCTCTGTCCAACACCGGAAAGACCTTATCTGGCTACAATGTTAAATTCAAAAAATTAAATTCTTACAAGTAAAGTTAATAATTCGACATTCCACTTATAAAACTAACACGCTAAGTATACATTTTGCTTTAAAATTTAAGGTAAAATAAAAATGGCAAAATATAGATATTATATTACATAAAATATATATATATATTATTTTTTATAATTAATAACTATATTTATTACAAAATAGTTATACCACTACATCATTTTTCTTGATTTTCTTGGTTCCGCTTGAGTCAAATCGGCTCATTTGAGCTTAGTTTTAGCGCTCCGCTATAGATTGCGCTCCTTTGTAAACTGTGTTCTCCAATTGTACCTAGATATTTATTGTTTATGAATTGAATAGTATCGTGTACTAAGAAGTAACAGTTTGTATATGGAATAGTTTAATACACAGAGTATCTTTTGTGTTACATTTATTGTTTTATTTTGAAAACGAAATGTAGGTTTTGCTTTAGATATGTTGCTTTAGAAAGAAATTCTCAAGCTATTCTTTTATTACACATTTCATTTATTATTTCTTTAAATTAGTATCTTATTAAAACTATTGCAATGTAATGTACCTGCAATATCAATATAAATATTATTATTATTATTATTAAATATAATTTAAAATACATTGTTACTACGCAAACACATTTTTTGTTAACATGTACTGATTATTATAGACAGTTATTGATAATGATTATTATAGTCATTCCGAATACATATATACTAAATGATATATTAAACTATATATACACATTTATATGTATCAATTTTGTTATATAATAACAATTATATAATAAATAATTGTGCAGTAAAAATGTTACACACACACAAAGTGTGTTCGTTGATATAATACATTTTAAAAACAAAGCTTTTATGTTTAAAACAATATTTGTAGAGTTTTTGCAATAACATAGCAAATTAAGATATGTATCATATTATACACATGTAAGATACAATGCGATGTATGTAACGAAAACCTATTTAATCTTGTTACTTTAGAAGCAATACAATATTATTAAAATATTTCATTATCATATATAAATATAATACAAATAGCGATAATATTATAGTAATATAGTATTATAATATCTAACATTATTGATTTATTGCAATTTTACTGTGATATATTTTCGTAATAATTTGTGCTATGTGACCTGTTCAAAAGCGCGTTTTATGCGCATGATTAAAGCAGATATTTTTAAGTGTGTTTCAGAACGCATGACGTTTTTCAACAACTTTTAAGTTTTCAAAATTATTTTTAGAACATTGTGAATCAAAGCCAATCAAATTATTCATGTGCAAAAAATGTGCGAAAGTGAAAGCATTTTTGAGAGGTGCGTTCGTGAGTGTTATAACTTTTTGGAGAAGTTTGCCTTCAGTGACGCAAAACCTTGATTTGTAGAAAGACGAAAAGATGACCTTGTTTTATAATGAGTAGCAAGCTGTATCTTTTGCAAAGTGGTGGAGCACTGGTTATAAAAACCAGCTTCATTGTCAGTTCCACGCAATATGTTTGGATACACAATGTGGAAATGTTGGTTGGTTTCTTTTATCTTGTTGTATCTATTAGCTACAACGTCATGTCGAAAAACCGACCTGGACTCGTCTATCAATTTGATGTTGCTTCGTATTTTTCGAAATTGGACTTACGATACTTTCGGTATGTGTAGAAAAAAATATAAAAATGAACATTCATATTTTTTCAACATATTTCGAGAAACACAGAACACGAAGAAAATCGATCAAAACAAGATAAAATCAGTGGAAATTGATTACTTTTTGTGTATATTTTGTCGGAGAAAGAGAAAGAGAAAAAAAGAGAGAGAAAGAAATAAACTATTGCTTTATTTATTAAACGCTTTGGAAAAATCACTTTAAACGCAACATTGACAAGAAAAAGAAAGATCGTTTAAACAACTTCGACACTATGACACAAAGGAAGAACAAGAGTGTCTTTCAAATCTCAAGTATTTTGCTGTATCAACGATTGCTTCAATTTGTAAATGAAATATGTGGTTTTTCTATTTTTAAAACTTTATATAATAATCAGTCAAAAATTCTTGAATTTGTATTCATTCTTTTTCTTTTTCTCCATNAAGTTTTCTATTCATATTAATTTTAGATGAGAATATGTATATATCTACAAAGAAATGTTTTATAACAATTTGCACTCTCTCTAGATGTTTATTAAACGTTAAATAAATTATAAAAATTATACATGAATGTTTAATAGATATGAATTATGAATATCTATTTGGGAGACGTCTGAATGATGATTTTACTTGATTGAATACGATACATCAAACATTGCTTACTATTGTTGTNCTGTCTAAAGATATAAATGCAAATCAATCTTATTAACTGCTGACTACAAAGTTCGAACAGTTGAAAATTGCATTAGATCGAATAATGTATGAAAGTTTCCTTGTGCGCGCGCAACGTACTATTTTATTTTTTTACTTTATATTTGTTTTTTTAGAGTAAACCTCCACTATGATATTTCTGTGCTTTACCACATTATAAGAATTTTAATTATGTTTNGTAGGTAAAACGGGAACTGAAGCACGGTACTTGCAAGCGGCGAAAACCACAAAAAGAACGCAGTCACCCGTTCCTATTAACATCTCGTTCCCTTGCGATGTAACAAGTAAGATGTTTACTCACTTTGCGTCACAGTTTTGTCTTGAAAACTACATTAATGTGCGTATCTACATCTACTAACGCCTCGTTTTCTTGCACTGTAACAAGTAGGATATTAAAACACTTTGTCACAATTTTCTGTTGAGAACTATTTAATTTGTTTATTTACAAGTGTTACTAATTAAAATCTGTTATTAAAAAAATCAGTCCAAAATTATTCGTTTTTGCATAGACATGTATGTACTGTACATTAAGTTTATGTATTTCTACACAACTTTGGTTACATTACATACTCTTTATAGATGGTCGATCGCCAGTGGTGCCGGATTCTGTGCGTAAATTAAAACCTGGTGATATTGATGTTATTGCCGCAATAGGTGACTCGTTTACAGCCGCAGCTGGAGCTTTCGCGACTTCTATAGTTCATATCTTAATTGAAAACAGAGGAATTTCACCGTCTGGTGGAGGTCAAGCCACATGGAGAGAATTTTTGACTCTTCCTAACATCATTAAGGTGAAGCATCTTCATCAAATAAAATTCTTTTTATTACATATGAAAGTTAGCGAATNTATGTATGTCTGCAAAGTAATTGTACTTTGAATGTTCAATATATTAGGAATTCAATCCCAATTTGATAGGATACGCATTGGGTGATTCTTTGACAATCCATGAAGCATCGCAACTGAACGTCGCTGAAAGC